GAGAGAGAGAGAGAGAGAGAGAGAGAGAGAGAGAGAGAGAGAGAGAGAGAGAGATTGCATTGGGCAGTTGCCTACACCATGAATGCAGCACCCATCATATTTGTTTTTGTGAGCGAAGCTGCAACAGGTCATCTAGTATGATATAGTAATTTCAAAACGCACTCTCAGTAATCAATCAAGATATTATATTCCAAAGAAACATAGCAAAGCATATGATATAATAATTTCAAAAAGCATCACTTGGCCATCCCAAATGCAATATGGCACAAAGAAACAATGTGATATTCATATCACTGGTAACTACTAACTACATACCCAGGCAGTACTGACTGGTTATGACCATTCATATGTGCCTTCACGAAAAGTGAAGCGTGGATGTCAGTTCCCACCGATAATGCTGCAGTGAACACAGAAGCCTTACATGAAGTGCTAGCGCATTGCGCGACAGTACTCTCCTCTGATTCTTGAAAGAAAAGCTTATCTGCAGTCTCTCTCTTGACCTCAATAGAGCCAGTCACTCCTCTATGGTAACACCCTCCTCTGCTGTTCTACGACAGAGACGAGCTGATAGTTATAAATGTGAGGCTTCAGAGGCTGCCTGTAAGACTGCCCGGCAATCGCGCAGAGGCTGGACCTCAGCTTCTGAAACTAAACAGTAGGTCCCACCTCACGGTTAATTACAAAGCCCAGCACCCATACGTAGGCCAGCACCCAGACTCAGCCTCCAAACAGGTCAAATGAGAGGAGACCAAGGCAGTGCACACATTTGGAGGGACTGGCTGCCAGCGCTAGCTCTGCTGGAAAGATCAATGGACAGAGCGCTCTGAAGTTGAGCAGCAGCCGTGGACAGCTGCTCCGCCTACGACACCGGTAACTGCCCCAGAAGGAGGAAGGGTGGCGCTGGATCGATGGGATCGGGGGGAAGGGGCAGCAGTGAGGACTTCCACCCGGGAAGTCTTCCGACACTTCGTCATCATCAGATACTGTGGCGCTAGTCTTCTTCGTCATCCTCTGAGTGGCGCTTGGCCTCAGAGGCCTGTTTCAGGGTGGCGCTACCCTCTGGAGGCAATACTTGGATGGCGCTTGATGTTTCAGGGGCTCAGGGTTGGTACAAGTGGTTACTCAGGGTTGGGGAGTGAAGCGCTGCTCATTTCTGAGCAGCGCACTGTAGTTCTGAGGTTATCCTGACAATTCGAGACTCTGCGTGTAATAAACAGTGTGATACTGGGTTTGGGCTATCATTGTTTCATTGTTTCTTGGACGTGATCTACTCGTCTTTCCTTTATGACTGGTTGTGAGGATTGAGTGGAGTGAATTGCACTTTCAGTGTACCCTGTCATATCGCATGGTCTAGTCTTCCACTGTGTTTATCTCTCCCTGTGCGGTGTGATACTCCTATCCTCTCCCCTTCCTTCTGTGTATGTATCGGCATACCTGGGAGTCTATGTGTGTGTGTGTTGGTCTTCAGACAACAAACAACCAGAATCATAACACGGTACTAACCTAGTATTGGCCAAGGAGCACTGACGTGGGTCAGACTCTTCTGCATCATCTGGCAAGACAGCTAAGGACAGAGAGCTTGTGAGATAGATAGCAGTAGGATGTGTTTAGAGACAGTGGAAGTGTAGTATAGGCAGACACATCGTAATACTACTGCAACATTGTTGTTGTATGGAGTATTGGAGGCAAGAAAAGGGGCTTTTTAGTCAAGAGACTTCAGTCTTCAGCGTGTTCTCCTTCGGTGTGCCCTCAGCTTTGTAATTCTGCTTTCAACTCTGCTCACTTATGTTTGTCCTGCTACGAGTCTTTTGCAGCTTGGCATTTTTTTCTCGTTGATTGGTTCCGGCACTTCCGGGCAGAAATCTCTTCTCAAAGATAGGGTTGTTATTTTCGAGTCCCTTCTCTCAACCTTAACAGAGGTTATCAAGAGTTATAATCTCTCTCTCTCTCTCTCTCTCTCTCTCTCTCTCTCTCCACAAACAGAAGTACCAGTCAACCCTCAATGGGCTGTTCTTGAACACAACCCTGCAGAGTCCCTCCATGTACCTCTTGTTCCGGCACTTCCGGGCAGAAATCTCTTCTCAAAGATAGGGTTGTTATTTTCGAGTCCCTTCTCTCAACCTTAACAGAGGCTATCAAGAGTTATAATCTCTCTCTCTCTCTCTCTCTCTCTCTCTCTCTCTCTCTCTCTCTCTCTCTCTCTCTCTCTCCACAAACAGAAGTACCAGTCATCCCTCAATGGGCTGTTCTTGAACACAACCCTGCAGAGTCCCTCCATGTACCTCTTGTTGTAAGTTCGAACTCGGCGCACATCAGCAGAACTTAAATCATTCGATCTTCTCCCCCTCTCAGATGAAGAGAGCATTCAGCGGCAGGCATCGCCAGCATCCGCTATGGCATCGAGCTGAAGAGGAGGGCTTCCAGAAGCCTTCCAGGTGGCATTCCCTCAGCGAATGCCTGAGGGAATGCCTACCCAGTTCCCACACTATTCTTTTCGCACTGGTATAAGATGTCAGTTAAACTCTATTCACATCACCTAGTGAGGCTGTCCTTGGCAGAGGTCCATGTGTCTAGAGTGCCTTGAGTTTTGTCTGGATACCTTCACAACTCAGAAAGATCAACACGCAGGCACCTCAATCACCGTTGCCACCTTTGATCGAGGGCCATGGCAAAGTATATTGGAACATCCCACAATCCAAAACCCAATATACGATTGACCTTAACTCGCACCCAAGTAGCACTTGCTGCTTCGGGGAAGAGATCAGTAAAAAAAAGACCGGGGAAAAGCGACTGGCAACAGAGAGGTGGGGAAAGAGATCGCGCAGGTGATGCTACCGCTGGGGAAAATTCACTGCCAAGATAGACCAGGGAAAAGAGATTGTGCAGGCGATCAAGAAACTCTTCCGAACGAGAGGAGCGGACAACCAAAACAAAACAAAGGGAGACAGGCACCGCTGTTAAGATCTCTTGACATCCCTCAAAGCCAGACATGAACACACACACACACACACACACACACACACACACACACACACACACACACACAGTGACATACTGCAGCAATAAAGAAGAAGCCGGCTTTTGAGTTCAAAGTTCAAACTTCAAAGCAATCCGCCACTTACCAGCACAGCCATGGGTGCTGCATATTCAGTCTTCCGAAATTCTCGAATCACCTGTGGCAACACAAAAACGAGTCATATTCTGCACCTGAGTCGTGGCATCAAAAGATTCTCTGCACCCTAAGACCCTAAACATATAACCATTTCAAACTACAAAACATTGATATCCTCCTGAAAATATGTCAAATCCTTTCAAACATTAGCCCTCATGTCAAGAAGCAGGGTAATTGACATGGACAACCCATCAAGTACAGCAAGGAAACGTGCCGAGTCTCATCAGGAGAGACCATTGTCACACAATCCATCAGTGAGAAATAATGAGTAGCGAACAAGAGAGAAGTGGAGAAGTTCAATTCAATCTCGTTTGCTGCTTGAGTGTGTTCCCTCCATCCTAGTTTGATGCCGGCCACGGAGCTGAGCTTTGCCTGTGACACGGACAACCCATGAAGCACAAAAAGGAAACGTGTCAAGTCTCATCCGGAGAAACCATTGTCACACAATCCATCAGTGAGAAATAATGAGAAGCGAACAAGAGAGAAGTGGAGAAGTTCAATTCAATCTCGTTAGTTTGATGCTGGAGTGTGTTTCATCCATCCTTGTTTGATGCCGGCTAGAGTGCTCAGCTTTGCCTGTGTGGTAAGAGGACCAATAGGGGAAACAAGTGATGAATGGGCTGACTGAATGTGGTCATACCAACTTTCTGAGAAAAATAGAATACCTGCGTTATTTGCGGATGTGTCCTCCTGCAGAATTCGAAATGAAACCCATAGCCAGAAAGTAGGCAAGACAGTCAACCACACACACACGCACGCGCGCGCACACACACACACACACACACACACACACACACACACACACACACACACACACACAGAGTATCAACTGGCTAGTTCAGAAACCAGTAAGTGAGTTCCCATCGCACAGCACAAACAAATTTCAAATGTTTGACATAAAACGTACAAAAATTTTGGCAATGCCCCCAGGTCAGAACCACCTCACCTCCACCCTTTCTGCTGCACCACTTCAAAAACTCGTTCATGTTTCTTGCTCTCATTCGACGAAAGTCGGAAAACCTCTCTGTTACGTCACATTCATGACCTCATTCATTTTTCCTTCTCTCGTTTTATGAATCCTTTCTGCTACTTCACTTCCGAAAATTGATTCATGTTCCGTCCTCTTCTTTGAGATGACAGAACCATCACCAGAAACGGAGACGGAAAACAGTGCAGAAACAAGGGGGCAAATTTCCAAAGCAAACTCTTCCAGAGAATCTTCCTGGAAGGTTTTCCTCTGTATCCACAAAAAGAAAGGGAGGTCGTAGCAGCAAAGTCAAGCAAGGCAGGAAGACGAAGGGAGGCAGTAGACCTCTTTACAAAGCAGTCATCCCTTATCAAGGCATTCTGCTGCATAGGGATCGCCCAGATAGGGATCGCCCCGAAATGATGCACCTCCTGAAAGTTCACTCTTCTGGTCCCATTCTTTCTAGTCCATCAAGGCAGTCTGCCGCATTGTCATATAGAGAGATGCATTAGAAACAGAGCTGTCAAAGGGCTACCATGCACCCATTCGGGGCACTCGAATGGAATGCCTGGCCACTGCTTCAGTCAATCAAACATGGGAAGCTGCTATGTCACACTAACGAATGCATAGAAAATTCAAACCCTGTTCAAGCACTGTTCAAACCTTGTTCAAACCTGTGCAAGTACTATTCAAATGCTATCCGAACACTATTCAAATCTAGCTCAAACCTGACCGAAACCCAGTTAAAACAAATGCTGTTCGAACCCAATGCAAAGCTCGTTCAGACTCGGTTCAAACCTGGTTCAAACTCAAGTCAAACTGTGGTATAAAGGTACACAGTGCAGTCATTGGTTTTGTCCCACTTTTGAGAAAGAACATCTGGCTGAATGCCCACCATCATCCAACCTGATCCAGATGTGTAACGTACCCCAATCAAATCCCACAATCGTAAAGGTCAGAGAGATGTCCAAGGCTGGTGAACAGTCCGGCTCTTAATGTGCCGGAAGAGTGATTAGTGTGTCTCTGAGGAGTGGTTGATCTTCTGTTGCAAGGGCCCGTCCCCCTTGAGACAAACTTGACGGAACCTTACCTAGGATTGGGTCGAAAAATAGAATTGCTATTCCGAACCCCTGAAGTCAATGTTCATAGGCTCACCTCCAACAAACATGCCCATGGCCTGAGCCGTTCTCAAAGGTGCCTTACCCGGTAGGGTACCAGTGTCATGTCATTATTTCCTCAAAACACCTCGGGCCTACAAGTCCACAGTGTCTGAGCCAGTCCCAAAGAGGACTTACCCAGTAGCATACCAGTCTCTGACCATTTCAGCCTCAAGGGTCACAGCACCGTACGCCTAGCAGTGCCCAGGGGTAGCCGGTCTAAAAAGGGGTTACACGGTAGGGTGCAAGTCTAGGCCTGAGAACACGAGAGATAAAAGGCTACTTTCCCCGAGGTGGATCTGAGCCAAGATTCGATAAAGGGGCTCAGCTACAGGAAGCACAGGCAACACCTGCGTCAGATTGCGTTTTCCAGAATTGTTCTGCACCCTCCAAGGTACTGCATCTCGATCGTCCAATTAAGGCCGATCAAAGGATAATACACATCCACCTTCGATTGGCTCGTTGGTTCTGTCACTTGCTGACTGACGTGCTCAAGCTTTGGGTGCTGTGAAACGAACCAAGTGTTCATCAGGCTTCACTTCGCAAACATCAATGAACATACACACGAGAGTTCACACGTGAGAAGCTGAAGCCGAGATTCAATCCACACATGAGAAAGTCATCCCCAAAATTATTGTTATTATACACAAGTGGACCCACAGCAGCTACGCTGCGGCAACGAAGGGCGAAGAAAGGGGGGATGGAGGAAATCAGAAAGGAGAAACACATGCGAAGTGTCATCATGACAAAGGAAGAATTGAAAGAGGGGCAGAGTTGCATACCAGTCCGAATGGGGGTTGGGATAGTGGGAATGCCAGGGGAGTCAGGTTCAGGATTAAGAGGGAGGGGAGGGGGAGGGG